CTGGATCAGGAAAACCAGGTAACTGAGGTTACTGACCAAGGTCCGTCCAGGGAGTTGCTGAGGCAGCCTGCCCCATGCATCAGGGCTGCCTCTGCTAAGAACAAGAGGAAGGTCATTGTTGTGGGAGATTCTCTTTTGAGGGGAACTGAGGGCCCCATATGCCCAGACCCAACGCTCAGGGAGCTCTGCTGCCTCCCTGGGCCCAGGTTAGCGATGTTACCGGGAAACTCCCAGGCCTGGTGCCCTCTGGTCACTCCCCACTACTGCTCATGCAGGTGGGCACTGATGAGGTTGCCAAGCCAAGTCCCAGGGTGATGTAAAGGGATTTCAGAGGACTAGGCCGAGTGCTTGTGGGATCAGGAGCACAGGTGGGCTTTTCCTCAGTTCCTTCAGTGGCAGGAAAAGCTGAAAGGACTAGGAAAACACAACTGATTAATGTATGGCTTAGAGGCTGGTGCCATTGGATGAACTTTGGATTTTTTTATCATGGAGATGTTTGCAGGGCACCAGGGCTGCTGGCATAGAGCTATCAACAAGGGGGAAAAGGGTTCTTGGCCAGGAGTTAGTGGGGCTCATTGAGAGAGAGCTTTAAACTAGGCTTGAAGGGGGCAGAGGCTAAAACCCCTGGAAATGAGCCTGTGGGCAACAAGAGAACAAGAGTTACCAAGGCTCATCCAAAGAACTTTAAACCAGATTTGAAGGGGGGTGGGGATACCACTGGGCTTGCTAGAGAGGTGCCTGTGGGTTATGGCTCAGCGCTTGAGTGGAAGCATGCTAGTATTTATCCCACTATGAAGTGCTTCTACACTAAGGCACACAGCGTGGGGAATAAACAGGAAGAACTAGAGATCTGTGTGTGGTCGCACGGCTTTGATATCAGTGCAATCACTGAGACATGGTGGGGTAGCTCAGGTGATTGGAGCATTGTCATGGATGGCTATGCACTGTTCAGGAAAGACAGGTCATCAAAGCCAGGTGGCAGAGTAGCTCTTTATGTGAAGTAGCACCTGAAATGTTCCAAACTCTGGCCAGGGGAGAAGGAAGAACGTGTTGAGAGCTTATGAGTGAGAATTAAGGGGCACGCCAACATGAAGGACACTGTTGTGGGTGTCTGCTATAGGCCACCTGATCAGGGTGAGGAAGCTGATGAGGCTTTTTACAGCTGTAAGTAGCCTCATGGTCACAGACCTTGGTTCTCATGGGGGATTTCAATCACCCAGATATTTGCTGAAATGGCAACACAGCCAGGCATGCACAGGTTCCTGCAGAGTGTCGGTAACAACTTCCTGATGCAGGTGGTTGAGGAACCTATGAGGGGCAGTGTGCTGCCACACCTAGTACTAACAAACAAAGAGGGTCTTGTTGGGGATGTGAAGGTTGGGGGCAAACGTGGCTGTAGTGACCACAAAATGGGGCAGTTTACTATTTTGGGTGGAAGTAGGAGATAAAGGAGCAAGACTACAACTACATTTAACCTCTTCAAAGATGTACTTGCTGGAATACCATGGGTCAAAGCTCTGGAAGGTATGAATGTCCCTGAAAGCTGGGCAACTTTCAACAAGCACTTGCTCCAAGCTTAAAACCAGTGCATCCCAATGAGAAAAAAAAATCAAGTTGAGGAGGTAGGAGACCTGCATAGGCTTCTTCTGGAAAAAAATAAAGAAGGAAATTTACAGAATATGGAAAACAGGTCTGGCCACTCCCAGGCTGTGGAGTCTCCTTCTCTGCAGATATTCCAAACCCACCTGGACACAGGCCTGAGTACTGTGCTCTAGGGGATCCTGTTTCAGTGGGAGAGCTGGACTAGATGATCTCTAGAGGTCCCTTCCAGCTCCAGCAATTCTGTGATTCTGTGAGAAGCTGAATATATACTTGCAGGCCTTTTACAGAACAAACTAATAATTCCAGCTAGTAAACTAACAATGAACTCAGTTTTTAAAAAAATGCTTTGCTAAGAAAAAAACCCCAAATTCAGCAACTCCTTAGAGCTGCAGGGGAGAAGGGGTTAGGTGGCTGGTCCCAGCACTGTACCAGGAGTGCAGTGGGGATGAGAAGGCAGGAACAGCTCAGAAACACAAGGACTAAGGGCAAAGCATGGGCTCAAGGGCAGAGGCAAGCCCTGGAAAGACAAAGCACATGAGTGCTCCTCCATTTTGGTCCCCACGACCCCCCTGGGGGACATGACACAGTGCATCACCCATGGTACTGTCTGAGGTGGGACCATGGAAGTGCCACATGCGCAGGTCACCAGGTCTGCACTGAACACATCTGAATTACCACTAGACACAGGGGGTGCCTTCACAGAATCCTGTTTGGAAAAAACCTTTAAGATCATCAATTCCAACTATTATCCTAACAAGTCCAGAGCTAAACCATATTCCTAAGCTATTACTGTGAACATTGTAATTTACAGTGGTAAGTCTCTATTATAACTTACGATTAACCAGGTGAGTATTGAATACTGCCCTAGTAAGAGCAAGGCCAACAGTAAAGTAGCTGGTGTGAAAATAACTCTGGTGTACGTATTATTATGTGCTGCTACTGTGAAGATATTAAGCAGCATCTTGGAGTTTTGCTGGCCAAGTAAAAATCAGTATTTCATGCTTACACAATTTGTACTAGAGGCCCCCCTTGGAGCACAGGAGGAGTCAGGCAGCGTTTCAGTGATCCACAGCTGCTGGAGGCACAAGTGAAGTGAAGATCACCCTCATCCAAAGCACCCTGGAGAGGAGGAAAGGTGTTCAGGAGCATCAACAGCCAAAAGCATTTTGACTTTGCTGTAAAGAGTGTATCTGCAACAGAATTTAAGAGGAGGGAAATTTCCCTCTTCAAAATGAAGCAACACATGGGAAGACTAGACCTGTCCCTTGAGAGAGGAGAAGTCTGCACTTTTTAATAGCAGTATTAGTTACACTGAAATGATGGATAAGGATGTATTTTCTCTACTAAACTGTGGATGTAAGCAACACAGAAATGCAAACATACATTACACACACGTCACTTAGTTTGTGGGTTTTTTCCTATTCCTGTGGTATCACGAACTAGAGCAACGTGTTCAATTGACCAATTGCAGCTCAGAGACACAGGTATTTAACAGTCTGTTCAGGCAACCACAGCACACCTTTCAGTTACCAAACACAGGATTATTTTTTTCCCCAGCACAGCTGCAATTTAAGGAGAAAAAAAATGCACACTAGACCATGAGCTTTCTGCAAAATACAAAGGATGAGAAGGATTTCTGCTTGATTGTTGTATTTTCCCCTCCACAATTCATGAAAATATCTTTCAAAAAGGAATCCAAAATAATCTGTTGTACAATATATGTTCAACTTACAAACATAAAAATCTGGCTGAGTATAAAACCATTAAGACAGTAGGTTTATTTACACCACCAGTATGAAACATCAAACTTTTTACATTCATTTTGAAGGTTTGAATTTTCATAAAATCTTCAAATTCTGGCAACTTATGAAATGTGCACTCAGGAAACACACTGTACAATTGCAAAGTAAATTAAAATGTGTAAAAAATAAAAATAACTTAAGAGTGAAGCTGTTTATCTACAGTCGCTTTCAAACTAATTTCACCATCATTTATTATTCTCTTTTTATCAATATATGGCTCAGGAGAGGCAGGGAATAGCTTGCATTCAGTATTCAGCTCAGGTCTGATCCTGCAGAGTTACAAGGAAGCTCAGGGGAGGTGTCTGGATGCTGACACAGCATGTTTAGATTTGTCCTGGCCCACCTGAGCAGCTAAAGCAGTGCTGTCATTAGCAAAGACCTGTTAATCCATTCAGGCAAGTCAGTGGTTGACAATTTGTTGCACTCAGTCACTGTCATATTCCTCTATTTTTAGTTCATCTTCCTCCATGATTGCTTGAGATGCAACAGGCTGAGGCTGACTGCAAGGTAGCTCACTTCCACTGCACTGGCTGGAAGAGAGAGGGAATCCATCTGATTCATTCTCACTCGTGCTGGTTTCCTCCACCTGTGCAGCCATCTCCACAGCATGCACATCAGCCTGGTCCCCTTCAGAGAGAGCAAATAAGTCTGGTATCCCAGGGTCTTTGTCAGTAAGTGTTTCAAGCTTTAACCTGTAAAATCATCAATGCAACCAGAAGTTACCACAAAAATCCATCTGCTTTTCCACACAAAAGCTGCAACAGAAGACTGCCTGTGTACCACACAGGTCACCCATCTTCACAGGTGCTCCACAGCCTTCCCACTTTCTGGCAGTAACACCTTCCATCAATCACACTTCTTTTCAGCTGTCCACATTCTCACCAGTCCCCTCAGCATTATGTTTTTACAGCTCTGTGCACATCTTCCAGGTGCAGGTATGAATGCACAGCTTAGATGAAAGCCTGCAGAAGACACAGGAGCTTCTCTGGGGGAAGAACTCAACCAGCAAAACACCAGTCATGTCTGTGCTCTGTCACCTTCCACTGCCTATTTCTGCTTGAAGCTTCTTTCTTACGGTGGCAGGGGCTTTGCTGAGCTTTCTTCACATACATGAACTGCTCACGCTCAACTTACTGACAACAACCCACAGCACATTAGACCCTTTTCCAAGCAAAACTTTAATCCAGGAAGCAATTTGACGTAGAACAGAAAAATATGAGAAGTAGGGGGGGAAAAATAAATCTTCTTACATTTTATAATTTCTTTTACTATTTGGGCTTCCCGTTCTTAGTAGGATCTCTCTTATCAGTATGTTACCAATGTTCCTGTGTCATTTTTCCCACTTGACATGGAAATAATACAAACTTACACTGGCACTGGCAAATGCTCATCCTGGCTCCAACTCCAGCTGACCAAATACCATGCACTCTCCTCAGTGCCAGTTTCCTTAGTGCAGTACCATTCCCACCCCATTAATAAATATAATGAGAAATAAACACAATATTCTGATCTCCATTGGAACAGCTGCACGTTATTTTAAGGACTGCTTAGTAACACAAAATACATTAATTCCAATTAGGATTTCTGAAGGAAATACATGCTTATAAAAACTGACAGTACTCTATCCTTGTTTTCCAAAACAGCAAACAAATTAAAAAGGATTTCCAGATAAATTTAGCCCTCAGATGGCTCAAACTCTAAATGACACAACATCCAACTTAGTAATGCAGATACAAACCGTTTATCAATATTTAAAGGTACAATGCAGACCAAATTAATAGCATAAGGGAGACCAAATTAATAGCATATGGGAATCTATGATTAATCTGTAAAATTACAAACTCTCTTCTTTGCCTAAGAGACAAAATAGCTAAGTCTAATTTCAGCTGTGATCTCGATCCTATATTAGCAACAGACCATCACAATGAAAACTCTTTTTCAATTTCAGAGGTATCAAAGATACAGAAATGTAACTGAGGCTCCACTAATAGAAATGATGGCTGATTCATAAAGCTCACTTGAGTCACATGTCATGCCACATCACCCCACGAGCACTACACAATCTCTGAGCAGAGCACTGTTCTCACAGCTGAATTAAAAAGGGTTTTTTTGAGTATTTAACATCGAAGAGGGATTTCGGTAGCTATAGTTTTATTATAAAATGCATTCTAAGCAAAAAGTTTACTCCAAGTAATCCAATAGGCAAAAATTCTACAAGAACCAGCACTGCTACCTAATTTCAGAGGAAGCATTCACTGAAAACATTTTGTAGCTTGACAGATAAACAGCTGTCTCAAAGGAAATAGGAATAATTCTCTGTAATACTTTTCAACTCCTCTAACTTATATATACTCAACACAGAATGTTCTACTGAACTTCCAGAGTAAGGTTTTATGCCAAGATGAACAGCAGACAAGGGGCACAATACTCTTCACATCGATTCCATTTTCATTCTCTCATCAATGTTTTTGATTTTAAAAAAACGTTTTGTTCTGGTCATGCACTGGAGAAAAATAGGTATGCCTAGGACAGAGCTACTATTTGATACAAAGGAAAACAGAATTAAAGAAGGATTAAAAGCATTTTACTATAGTAAAGCCTTGCTACAAACAACATAATAATAAAGATATTTGAACTGGAAAAAGCTCTTAATGGGCAAAATATGAAATGATCACGCTGCAAGTGAGGAAAAATGTCACATCAGAGATGAGCACTGAAGGTATTTCTCTATGAAAGGGTTGTTTTTTTCAATATATTAAGAAAGAAAGAAAGTTACTTTCTCTAAGAAAAGACAGAAGCCAAGTTTACCTCCCAAAATGTCTTTTCAGTGGCAGCCTTCCAACGTCTTGGATAAAAGCAATCTGAGCTGAGAACAGAGAATCACCAGTATCACACTGGGTAGATCACCATGCACATACAACTCTATTCATACATGTAGTCAAGTATCCCTGTATATATTCACAATACTTTGGTTACCAAAACACTGCACACCAGTAGCATGTTTATAGATTGCCTACACACAAGTAACCCCACAGACATGCACCAACTGTGTATTTATGATGCAGTTATTATTCTACAGCCTATCAAATTAATTCATCATGATGTCAAGGCCTTAGTTAAGATATAAAGCCTTTTTTTAGAAGTCATTAACAATCATAAACAATCCAGATGTCTAAACAGAAATTTTTTTTATTACGTACCCTACAAAGTAATTTTTTCCACATGAGCTGTCCACTATTGGATTACCTCAGATTACACATTTTTTAATGCCCTACAGACTTGACTTTGTTTACTTTATCTGGGAAAGGCTTTTTAAAGCTCTTTAAGTCTGTTGATGCTAAGGGAAAGGCATCAGTAAGCAATTAAGACCTAGATAATACTGCCTACTAGGTTTCCAAAAATCTTCTAACCAAATTCCCTAGTAGATTTAAAAGAAACCCCAAGATTAAGAGAAGACCTTAAAAGAGTAGAGTTTGATAAGTAATGATTAGGAAATGGGGAGAGGGGTATGAGGTAATAGGTAACTCTTGCAATGGAAAAACGTTGCCAGTACAGTTCCTCAGAGATCTGTGCTAGGACCTGGGCTATCCAGTACATTCCTAAACGTAACCCTGTGAAAAAAAGGGGTGAAGAGTGAGATAAGCAAGTTTGCCAACACCCCCCAGTTAGACAAGATAGCAAGGGTTTAGTGGGCAGAGAAAATAACTGTGCAAGGACTTAAGGAGACTGAGTAAGAGGGCAACCTGATGAAATCCATCCAGTAGAAAAAGAGAAGAATTATTTCAAACACACCAACATGAGGACCTCATCTCATACATTTATAAAGTATGAATGCCTCACTTCTGTCAAGGGAGATATTTATTTTAATTATTTCAGTTACTTGAGTTTTAAAAATGCTCTTGATGTTGTTTCAAACCTAACATGACAGCTCTAATTTTGCCTGTGTTACTACAAAAAATATTAGCTATCAGCTATATGCAGATACTGTATATATTCTTTTTACTGAGCCAAAAAGCACAGATAGTATTGACAATTTGGGTTACAAAATTTCCCAGTGTGTTTGAATTCCAAAAGAGTGTCCAGGATCAACAGTTACACTCATCTTACCTTGGTTTCTCATTGGATTTGCCAACATAGCAAGATAAGGCAGTAGCTCTGTCTGAAGACACTCAGGTGGTAAACAGAAGCTTGAAAACAGAGATTTTGCAGCAAGGCAATTTTCTTGATACTGTAAGAGTTGGGGAAAAAAGAAACACAACTAAAAAACCTGGTAAATTGTTATTAATGTAGGTATTCTGTATCTTAAAGACAAACTTTCCTCTTGCCTGCTGGATGACTACATACAAGCTACTGAAAAATGAGACCAGAAAATAAGCTCACGTACACAGACCACAAAAATGGTAAATTCCTTCATGTTTGCATTTTGCTGGGCATTAAAATTTCCAAATATATTTATTCCTTGATTATACAATTTCCCACCCATCCAGGCCAATATTTTTGCCACATACAGTAATAAAAATATTAGCTCAAATATAAAAAATTGCAAAGAACCTTGGTATCTCATGAAGAAGCTACTTCTGATAAGCACATAACATTAATTTGTTAAACTTACATAACAGCTTCATGTGATTTAAACTGCGTAACAAGTTAAACTTACTTTTAGGAATACTTTATAGTATTTTAACACTCATTGTGTCTCCATTAACTGAGGACTAAGACTCTCCCAGCAGTATGACAACCTGGACACAGGAATCAGACTTTGTTGGAGGCCTCCAATTTGTCTTTCCAGTAGAGGAATAATATAACTCTTGAAACAAGTGCTTTTTAGAAGTAGCTTCCATAAAAATAAGATATTTGACAAGCTTAGCACTGGGAGCAAAAGAGGGAAAAACACAAACCAAACAACAACAAAAGAAACCACAAAATACAAGCACCAAGCATTTACCTTTTTATTGATAAAGAACCACTGAGGTTTATGTAAAGGGCGGAACCCCATCCCTCCTTGGTGGTGGGCAAAGGCTCTGGATGTATTTGCATGTATGACCCCTCGGGTAGCCACAGATGCACTGTACTCTTCCATCACAAGCCGTGTCTAAGAGAGAAATTGGGCATCATCTGAACTCCCAAGTGCCTGCACAGGACATCTGAGTTGGTCTAAAGCACACTCTGTAATTGCAGCAACACGACATGGCTGGAATCTGTTTAGGATACTGTGAAACTTATACTCAAAGCAGATGAATGGAAAAGCTTGCTCAATTACTTCAGGGAAAAGGCCCACAGACTCCAACACGTTTTTAGCACAATGTTTGTTCTGCTTCAAAATACTTTGTAGAGTCTTTTACAAACACTAGAACCAATAACAAAATAGTGACATGATTTGGGCAAAAAGTTGGACCTGCAGCTCTTCTATTGTTGATGTACTTCAGCACCCATTAACAATTCACTGCCACCTGCACTTTTAAGTTTGAAGCAAACATATAGAAAGAAGTCTGTAAGTTCCATATTTTTTTAAAGTATGTGTGTATAGAAAAAAAAAGAACCACTTACACTCCAGTTACTACAAAGGACATCAGCAGTGCTCAAATATTCACTGGCTCTCACTACATCATCTATTTCAGAAAAAAAGTCTACGTAGTTCTGGTGAAGATATAAATTAAACACGCTTCCAGACATGTGTGATTTTTCCACAATATCCTATTAGGAAAGAAAAAGAGCAAGTTTTACACAGTGTACAAGGCTACAGAAGTGTTGATACATTTAGATGGTTAGGGAGCTGGCACACATGAACTACAAAGTGGTGCTTATATAGAAGAGGGAGGTCAGCCTGCTCCAGAGGAGGCTAATGGTGGGGATGGAGGGGCAGAGGCCATTGCTGTCTGCAACACTCTTTAATGGGTGGTCACAGAAAAGTGAACTCAGACTCCTCTTGGCAATGCACAGGGAAAGAATGGGAGGTGACAGTCACAAGCTGCAGCAAAGGGAAGTCCACCTTCCACTACAAATCCATCAGTGAGGTGAGAGAATCTCTGTCCCTGAGATACTCAACATTTGACAGATCAAGAGCCTGGGAACATAATCTACCTTTGAAGTTTAGAATCCAGAGGTCCCTTCCAGATTATTCTATAATCTGGACAGACTGAATAGACATATTTTAAGATCAGATTAGTTCTGGGTTTTTTTTCCAAACCAAACTGGAATCAGGCATTTACTGCAGATGTACCTCAGGATGAATGAGCAAGGTGTCTCGACGGTGTTCTGACAAGTGAGCAGGCAGCTGAGGAAATTCTGGTTCTGACACTGCTTCTCCTACAAAGGATTTTAGAGTCTTTAGTCTTTCAGTATCAGTTACATTTCTACACATCACCAAGAAAGCCAGAAGAAACACTGATTTCAGATTAAATATTCAAAATTAGAGCAAAAATTAGATAGGAGCAAGAACAGAGATGTGTAACTGCATGAATAGTTTTTACATTTATTGAGCACCATTTTTAGCAACTGCCAACTCCACCAGCAACTAGACTACACCATTTTCAGTTCCCAGAAAGCTCTTGATGCAGGCATAAGTACTTATACAGTCAGTATTATATAGTCAACAACATCTAATTATTTACCTTACACTTCACGTAACAAATTTTATGTATTTTCACATTCCCTCACCTCACTGTTTTTCCACAGTTGATTTTGGAGCAGATATTGTGAATTACTAATGAAATGTGGGCAACCAAGGAATTACAGACCCTGATTTAGCTGAGTGCCGACAGTAATAGTTTAGGAAGTATGGAATGGTTATGAATTACAGTTTTTAAATGTTAAGAAACAGTAGTGTAACCACACACAGGAAGCAGATGGGCAAATGTACAGAATCTGAGTGTATAAAAAGCAGAACTTTAGTAGTAGTAAGGTGGAAAGTATTTTAGAGAGGTGGAAAGGGAGATGACAGGGTATTAGAGAGAAGTAGAAGAGACTTTCAGGTCAGAAAGGAGAAAGGACATACGTGTGTTAAAGAGAAATAAAGATTTAAGAAGTAAGGAGGAATAGACAGCAGAAAGACAAACACATACGACACATATAAGGAAGGCAGTAGCTACAAGGCTGCAGGGCTGTTCTGTAACCTTTACGACAGAGAAGGAGAGAACGCAACAGTACAAGAACCTATAACCCCACACAAAAGCAAAACTTGCTTTTGTACAAGCAACAAGGGTGGTGCTGTCTGTCTGGCTTTGTGTGCATGACAGACATGGGCCTAATGCAACCAGACTTTACTAAATGCATATAGTAGTATATTTTAATGAAACGTTTATTTACCTAATAGACACAGCCGCAGCTACCACAAACTTTTATTACTGTTTTTATACTAACATTAATGACCAAACATGTGAGTTAGAGTTACTGTGAAGTCCTGCTGTATCATATCTAGCTGTTAGCAGCCAACATGCTTTACCCATTAAAAAGAAAGGTAAGTCAAAGTTTTCTTACTTTTGCAGTAGATTATCTTCCCCAGAGCATGGAAAAGAAAGATGGAAGCATCTTTGCCACCAATAGCTTGTATCTCCTGGTCTTCCAAGTTATCAGATTTACTTTTCTTTCTTTCTTTAGATCCTGCTGCTCCTTCACATTTTAGTGTGGAGCTCCTTTTCTTCCTTGACCAAAACTCCTTCTCCAATGAACAGTCTAGTACAAGCAAAAATACAGTCAGGATAAAGTAGATTAATCTAAAAAAGTTTTATATTATATTGCTATTGCTAATGTTCCAAAGAAATAAACGATAAGCAAAAAAATACAAACAGCAAAGGTTATATAGAGGGACTTAGAGAAAATTAATTTAGTAGGAAGGCAACCCAGTCATCTTAAGCCACACTTAGGGTGCCAAGTAATTTTGAATAATAAATACCTGCCTTTTAAAAAAGCTAGCATTCTTATGTATTCATTCTAACTCTGATGCATCCTCAATTTCCCTTTATTAAAAACTTCTTCATAAAGTATGCAAATATATTTAATTTACAAGATTCTGTTCACTTACCAATTTATCTGCTATTTGCATTATCTGTATAATACTCTGACTGAAATATAAGGCAGCAAAGAAAACTTTTCATTTAGATGATTCTCCTAGCAGCCTACTAATTTCTACAATGTTTTGAGCCCCAAAGAATAAACCCCTTCTACTCTAATTTAAAACTCAAAAATATTCACCCACGATTTCATTTAGTGGTGGGTGCATGTTCCTTATTACACTAAGAGAACTTATGCCTTAAGTATTTACCTTTCTTTTCCCCCATACCACAATGGATCCCTTTGACGCGTTACTACCACCAATGTGAATGTGTTGCTTCTGTTTACACACAGACAACAAGTGGCAAAAAGAGATTGTTTATATGTAAAAACTAATACTCCATTCTCAGGAGATCAACAAGGAGATGTCTCCAAAATTTACAAAACATCACTGACTGCTCAGCATTTACCCAACTGAAATATGCCAACGACTAAAAAAAAAATTATATTCAACATGAAGACAGCTCTTCTCAATCTGTAATAGAACAGCAAGAAGAGAATGTTCAGTGTGGTAGGGCTTGAATACAGGATTCTGAGATGTCATGAACAGAAGCTGTCAAGCCATATGCCCTTGGTTGTTGTTTGGTTTGGTTTTTTTTGTCCCAAGTTTTCTCTACAATTCTCCTGTTTTTACATATCCGAGGAAATTTATTAAAAATTACATAAACTTGTCATTTTAAGACTACTCAGATTTTCTACAGTATGTAGGATCTAGATGTAGCATCCAGAAAACTCTTCTCAGCTATCCCAAACCTACTGCTTACTAACTTAATGACATTATCATCAAAATGGTTTTACTGAGAGGAATTTTGTACTTTGCTGGTTAACACAGAACAATACTAACTCAGTTCACTAGAAGAAAACATCAGAGGAATACAGCTTCCATCTTTGCAAGTAGAAACTTGACTCTCCCCTTTAGGTAATATAGTAAACACAGCTAATTAACTTCCATATACTGTAAAACTCTGCAACAGTTCCTCTTACAACAGGGACTTGAAAACACACTTAATCCTGTATTCCATAAGCACATTTTGCAAGGTGGTTGTGTGGGAAATAAGGTCGTTGCTAGCTTTACAAAGTACAACAGAAAACAACTGTTGGATTCAGGTCCTTATCTCTAGGTTGACTATAAATGCTGGCACCATCTAATGATTCTTACGGTGAACTACACGTGCCAGAGGACTGCTTTTAAAAACTGTAGGATAATGAAACACATGCACTACTATCTTAGCCAGTGCTGACGTCCAGTGCTTATAAAAGACATGACAGTAAGTGCCCTGTCTTCTTTTGGTGTTGGAACATGTAAAATAATTGCACACTAAGTCTGATCTGAGCATCGTCCAACCACGTACTCTGAAAACTAATAAAACTCTGAACTTCAAAGTTTCTCTACAGTATACTCAATAAATTTAAAGCAGCTCATGCCACCTCAGAGCTTTTCAATTTACCATAGCCACAGGAACTCCAAAGCAAAATCAGTCACTACAGACATGCTATATAAAAGGTCAATGGGCTACTCCAGAAATATTTTAAGGGAGACATAAGGACATGGAGAAGTATAAAGAACCAAGCAATGAAAATATCCCTTTCAAATCAAGGTTGCATCATAAAGCTTGGATCAGTAAGCACACACCAATATCAAGAACAAAATAGGGCACTTCGTTAAATCACATGAACACATACGTAGCAGATGCTACTCAGTTTCAGGACTACAGATACCAGTCATGAAATTGAACATGTTCAACTTAAAAAAGAAAAACAGAACACCACACGAAACCTGTTTGCCTTTTATTCTTGCTCCAGACCACTGTGTCAAAAATGTTCTGCACAGATCAGCTAGCTGTGCTGCAACAGGGAACAAAACACCTTTACAGCAGAAGTGGTCAAATTGCCATTCACTTAACAAAATAGTAAGTATTTACCTTTCATGGAATAAAACTGAAGACTGTTTATTGCACTTCTTATATCACCTGAACAACCTCTGCAAATCAACTCCAGAGAAGTTCTATCAAGAGCATTGTTCTTTTCTCTGTTCTACAAGGAAAAGCAACATTCATAGTAAAAGGAGTAGGAAAATTAGTATTTTAATATTATTCTGGCTGTGGAGACCCACCTCTGATAGACACCATGAACAGACTACAGAAGGATCCACCATGTGCTCAAATAATCTAATACTGGTAACTTTAAAACATTTAATCCATTGCCACATTTTATACAGCAATATTAAAAAGAATAATTCATACAATTCTTTGCAAGGTGTCACTCAATATTAACTTGGCTGTAATCTAAACAGTTCAGAAATAATACAGGATTTAAGTCTGTGAGCTCTTCTGGCCTTGCTGAATACAGTGAAAATTACTTCTATTATTTGTTCCATTGATAGATAATAGTTTCTATAATAGGCAGAAGAATTTTCAGAAGTAACCTGAAGACTCAGAAGAAGGACCAAAACAAACACAACTTGAAAACACGATATCTTTCCAGTTTCTTGCTTGTTTTTTGTTGGGATGAACTGGTGGGGGTCTCCTGGGGTTAGGGGGGTCTGCTATCAAGGGTCAAGCAAATACAGTAGGAAATGTAACTAACATAGTTCAGGCATAAAAGTCTGAAATCTGTTGGTCCTAGAAGTTACCAGTTTTGACAACTTACCATACTGGCTTCTGTTGCAGCTATTCGATTAAGAACTTTCATCATATTTGTTGGTGCAATAGGCTTGAAACTGTTGAGTTTCATTTAAAAAAATAATAAATCAATTAGTTTCTGACTTCTCGTTTATTTCAATCAAGTTTTAATGAGATAAAAGGACTCACCTAATATTGGATATACACAACTCCTCTAGAATTTCCATTGGGAATAGCAACCTCTGGTTGCTGTCTCCACTGAAGTTATCTGAGATTATAAATATAAGGGGACACCGACTGGTACGAACGAATCTCCTGAATTGAGAAGTAAAAAAAACATAACAAGAATCAAACTTCACTTTACTGCAAGTGGCTAAAAGCTAATAATAAAAAATTCATTTGCCACTGACCTGAGGATTTCATGTAGACTGCTAGGGTCCCGATAGAACTGGTTAGGGATGTCCTATTCAAAACAGATTAATTGCTGTCATTGCATTCAGGTGTAAATACTCTCTCCCACAGATTGACTGTTAATGACACACTGCATTGCTACGTATTTTTTCTCCCCAGTTAACCTGCTGTCAACTGAATTTGAATGCAGCTAACAGTGAAGACAGCCAGGGATTAAAATACAATCAAACAAAAAGAAAATCACAGCCCAGCATTTCTTTTATTACTTAAAAAAATATATTGAAAAAATTATCTAAAATATTTTCTTTCTGTGCTTGTTTCCTCAGAAACACTCTTGGGTGATTACATTGCCTGCTAGAGAGTTTTCCTCAGAGGAAAAGCACTCCAGGCAGCAGCTCCTCTGAGGCCAGGATGTACTATTTGAGACCTGCAGAAGGCAGTGAACTCATTAAGAGAAGTCACAGAAGACACTGCTTCCTAGATTCCACAGTACCTCACATTACTCAGCTAGAATTTTTATCTCATTTATTCTTTTTCTTGAAAGTTCACAGACAGCTCAACTACCTGAACTTTTAAAATTCCTGTCAGAAAGAAAAACAACAAACAAAATGAAAAAGCTCAGAAAGAAAATGCCATTGAAATATGCTTCTAAAAAACTAAAAAGGAAGTCTTCTCCTGTACCTCCCATTATGGCTTCACAACCCCCCAGAGTTCACACCTCTGCCCTAAGTAACACCCCCTGCATAAGACCAGGGAATGCTACATTTCAAACGCTTTCTGATGGTATTAAACCTCACATTAACTCCGACTCTCCTGCATCTCTAAGTAACAAGGTTACCTAGCAGGGTTTTTCTCCCCTCCTCCTGTTTACACACATGTATTTCTAGAAGGCTAATCAGACAAGAAACATGGGTGTGACTCTTCAATTCTGTTTTCATCTAATTTTGGTACTTATTTCTGCACACAGACTAGTCTCTAATTTCTGCCTGTTAGCTTACATAGTTTAACTACAGTCAGAACTTGGTTCTAGCCTGCTGTAGAGACCCAAATAGTCATGAGGAATTAATCTGCAGTAATGCAGACTAACTTTTGGTCACACTAATCCATCAGCTAAAGCTAGTTAGCATGTCAATATTATAATAAAAGGTATTGTTTTCAAAACAAGATGTCACAAATTTTCACTTACTTCGATAAGAATAAGCTTCTTACAATTTTCTGAGGACTCCCCAAGCATCTGAAGCTTGTTGTATTTATTTGCTCTTAACAGAAAATCTTGAAAGACAGCTGCTTGGGCCTGACTTGGAAACGTATGGAAATTTGAGTCTGAAAAAGAAAACTAATTAAAAATATGCATTCCATATCACACCAAGTAGGATATAAACACCTACAAGAACTAATACCCACCCATGCCATTTCCTGACTAGCTATAGAACAGCAGCAGCCAAGCCCCTTGGCAAACATTAAAAATGCAAGGGAATTTTAAAAGGGTAGAAATCAATAGAGGACACAGATTAAGACAAACTTGCCTAGTTTTATATAATTGGCTCAAAAGATATCCAGGCTATTAATTAGCTCTCCACACTGGTTTCAATTGCAAATTATTTTGGAGTAAATATTGTAAAAAAAACTAACTCCCTTTTCAGATAACAGCAAAAGGAAGATTCTTATTAAATACCAAGGATCTGACTTAAAATGAATGCAACAAAAGAAGAAAAAATGAATAAATCACAAAAGTAACTGCTGGGGGCAGGGGGGAATATCAAAATACTTACCATGGTCAAGCATACTTCTCAAGTCTTCTTTTGTAAAGTCTAAAGATACTGGGTTGGTCCATTCTTGCACCTGAACACCAAGATCTTTTGCTAATATTTGAATAGTTGCAGTCTTTCCACAACCAGGAGGACCAGTCAGCAGCAAAACAGAGCCACCCTGTCACAGGGAAAAAGTGTGTGTATCTGTTCAGTTAACTGCACAGCAGATGGATTACCAAGATAACACCTACTGAACTGAAGAATCAGGTCTGAAAAACACTAGGCAAGACTGGTAAGTGATGCACATGTCTAAGAAAGCCTCCTACCAACCAAGATACTACAACCAGCAAAACCAGAACCCGCCTCCTAGCAGCAAAAGCCCTCAACAAACACACAAGCTCTAGTCTGGGCTCCTGACAGACTTCCTATAATGCAACAGGTATATAATCACTACCTGTACACTAAGGGGGTTTTTTTGTGACATTAAAATAAAATTGAATCCAGCTCACTCCTGTGGTTGTATATTCCTGGCTGCTGATTCCAGCAGTATTACCTGCATGGGCGACCTCTGAAATACGCGCATTTTTAACCAGGTTTCAACTTCTTCAATTTTCTTCTTTTGCACAGCAAGGTCATTCTAAAACAAGATTAAAATAGATGAGATGCATATAGACACCTCTCAGTTTCCACGACTGTAACGGTGAGAGGTTCAAGAGCAAAGTATATGCTGACTAAAACATGGACAGACACTCCAGCTACATGTTTCTGCTATGCAGAAATAAGCGCAACAGTTGAGGACAAGAACTTCAGCCTGTTCTGTCAAACAAACTATTTTCCATTGCTCGTAGTTGGGAAATCATGAATTATTTATTATTGCCAAAATACCAACATTACAGCCTTTCCTGTTTGCCAGTCTGCTCTGTAGCTGGAGTTGGTACGTTTTAGGCTCTGCTGACTCTACTGCTACAAAGGTTTCTGGAACTCCTACACATCTCAGGAAGTTTATTTGCCTTCTATCTTTGTAACTCAATTCCTCTCCAGAGATGAGCTATTAAATATGTAAATATAAAGTCCAAGTGCTACATGAACAAACTCACATAGATAAGCCAGGAGACAGTAACCACAAACATTAACTCCTCTGAAAGGTGGGGAAGCAGCTGTTCCACCAGCTGAACGAGTGAAGGCAGGTTTACCACAGATTTGGGTCCTTTTCCTTGAAGCCTTAAGGTAGCACAGAGCCCCCACCCACAGCCCAAGATGTACTAAGCAAGACATTAACTGCACACTGAAATTAGTCAAGGATTGCAAGTGCTGACAGGCCAGCAAGACAATTTTGGTTATCTTTCCCGTAATGAGTGCACTAGCTCAGTTCTCTGTCCTTTCTTTAGCTGTGTATTTCTCCCAGTACTGTCAGACCTGGCTAGAATTCAGTCAAGGGTTCACAGGTTTAAACAGCTCATTCAAATCTTACCTGCAGCAAATAAATCAAACCAGTACTTCACTGCCCTAATAACACAGGATATACTCAGAACCTGACAGTACAGACTAAGAGCAGAGGCACAACAGGTCACAACTTAACATTACAACTACATCAGCACTTAAAGAGTAACTCTCACACCTGGGTTTCAGGTTTGTATCTGTCTACCCATGGCTCTTCTTGAGTCTGGCTCCAGTTCTGCCTGGACTTGCTGCAAGGCAGGTCTACTGAAGACAACTTTGCTCTTTTTCTAGGCAGAACTTTGGTTTTGCCACCTTCTGGCACAGCAGACAGGTCCTTCTTCTTCTGCTGCCGGTGGCTTCCAGAGTTGCCTTCCAGTTGCTTCACAGAAATGGCAGAAGAAATACTTGTGTTTCCAAAGAAGTCATCAAATGAACGTGCCAACCAATCTGCTACCTGGTAAAACACAAATGTTTTTGTATTAATGTACCTCTCTGCTTCCCTTAGCTGTGTATGGTTGTCTCTAGAAACCTGGAGGTTTTTATCAAGTGTATATAAGAATATCTCATGGATCTAAAGAACTTCATTAGCTCTGAGAGAAATGATACCAGTTAGCAACAAACAAAGCCCTTTATGCTTTTTGAGCAGGTCCATTACATACTTCCTCAGTACTGGAAAAGGTCAGAGCTTACATGTTGTGACAGGGTATTTTACAGGAAACTGGGAAATCAGAACAAGCTGAAAATTCTACAAATACATATTCAAGCTGAAGAAGCTAAATCAAAACAGAGATTACAATGAAAAAACAGCATAAGCTTATTAATACTGTTTTCATAGGTCTTGTTCACATTGTCTCTGTATAGTTTTCAGCATGTGGTGCTTTTTTTCCCTTTTTTTATCATTTGCAGTGCAGCCATTTGTGTTTAAAAGTTAGAAACAGGTAAGAGAAAAAAAAAACATTTAGGCAGTAAGTCAAGTGTTGCTGTTTGAGGGAGCTCAGACTGATCTAGAATCAGACTGTCACATGGATCAGAAGTCTGTCTGACAGTAACAAGGATCAAAGGCACTAACAGCATCAGGATTTAATTCTGGATTTGAGAAGTGCCCTGCTGGGAGAGGTGTACAAACTTACACCCTGGGGCCAACTCTCAGCCTACCTATGGTCCCAAAAGAACATCACAGAGGTCAGGCTAAGAGCTGCAGGACAACCTTTCAGCACAGGCCACTTGCTGAAACACACTTCTGTGAACACAGAAGTAGCAGAGTAAACACAGCATCTCCAGAGAAATGTGTGACCACTCCACACGTGACACGTCTTACATATGAATGCAACAGACCATCACCTAACAAGAGATTATCTGAGGCACCAGCAACCAGGAGAGAGGTTTTGTCTCTGCTCGTTTTGCTTTTAACGTTATTCAGACAAAACCTATTTTTAGTTTAATTTGCATTTACCAGCTGAATACCACCGTGTAAGGGGG